ACGATACACCCATGCATCCACTACCAAACACCCCTGCCCTCCCAATCTAAACCCCAGGACAGTACTGAGACAAGGCTACAACGACCCCCTACACTAGGCACGCTATCAGACACGACGCCCTGCACAAACCAGTCCTTTACACAGAGACACACCTACTGCTAACCTGCACTCTCCCTCACATACGCATTGCGTCACCTTCCCCCCCAAAAAACGCAGGTACTACACACACCGCCATCCTACCCCCGCGAATCCCAGCTTGCACTCAAACCTGCTACACTGCACATTCTTCACATACATATCAATATAATACCTATGTGCCCTCGAATACACCTGCGAACGCAAATGCACTCATCTGCTTGCTGCATCGCTGAAGTACCAAACCTGCGTTTTTTCTGGCCCACCTCGCCGTAACACGAGTCCCCTCTGCTTCTCTCCCACGAGCACATCTGCTCGCGAGCTGCATCGGGTACCTGGGCTCGAGTGTACGCAATACAGTGCATCGTGCTTAGCACTTACACTGTAACCAGCTGACGGTACGCTACACGGCTGCAACTCCAGCTATGGCGACATCTGACCTTCCTGCGACACCGACCATGACAACTCAGGTTAGACTCGCTAACTCTACACCCCCTATCTGCCTACTATGGCTTACTCACCGCCCCATTCCCCCTTTGTTTCCCCCACCCCTTCCTAACAGGAGCCTCTACTAAACTAACCCCTCTGATGAGCTGCTATGGGTGCTAGGCGGCGAAAAGCGCGCTTAAGGGCGTGCACCCCCCCTATGGTTGGGTCCTTAGACCCTCTCCTAACCCCAGCTAACCTGCTAACTTTAATCTTAATTGCTCCTATAACTTACATATTGTTGGGTGAACCCTATGCCGGACTAAAAGGACCAACCGGCTTCGTCTACAGTCCCATGCGTTGGGATAGCTGTGTTCTTACACAACCCCCCCACACACTCGCCCGGATCATAAATCCTGTTGCTATGGTTGGGGTTGAATCCCCACCTCTGTAGACTATGCCACCTGTCCGATCTAACCATACTGTAAATGCCACAGGAATACCAACCTAATTTTACCAGTATCCGATTCCCGCACATTCACCAAACACCCCTGACCCCCCACCCCCTACCCTCCGCCGCCCACGAGCTTTACTCCATGGCACTAATATGCGCAACTCCCCCTAAAACTACTTACCTTAGCCGATACACGCTTATGCAAAATTAATTATAAAACCACCCGTTTTTTTTAATATACAAAAACTATGTGAATATTACTCCAAACCACACCATAGAACCACGCTTACGAGTTCTTAGATAACGAAACTTAACAGGGGAAACGAAAAAAACAAAACATAGTAATCCCTGATTGCTTGTCAGAATAACCATCTATATCCTAACCACTCCTATGCTATAAACCCCCCCCTCCCTTTCCCTCTTCACTTCTCAAGATGCTAAAAGATTGACCGTCCCCTTCCACCTATAAATCTTATTATCTCGCGCTGCCCCAGTTCTGCTACCATCTCTTATTAGGGTTTCCAATAAGTAATCTGATTTTCCGAATGAATGACTCTGCCTATAATATTTGTTTTCACAATAACAAAATAAGTATGCATACCGTCTCAGGTATCCTCAAATACTAGTAGAGAAGACCGTAAATTCCCTTGACTGCCAAACCATTAGCCCCTAAATTACTAGTAGGCATAATATGCAATAGCTATTAATGATGATATATAACGATGTTCCTCAGCGATTGTGGCGAGTTTTGAATCTGAAAGACGAAAGATCTCGCGTCTACCAAAGCATGATCAAGCCCGTAGATTTCTATATCCAACACATAGAAGCGTTATACTACCGTTGTTTCAGAGAAGCGTCTACCAACGATGACTGTTTTTCACCAAAATAGCACCGCCAATTACCTTTACCAGAGCCCCCCTCAATTGCAATCAGGAGTGATATTTTGCTACACAACTAGAAGTTACGCACAAAGATAATAATGGTCGTTGTCACCTCACTATCTTCTGGCAAATATACAAAACTCGCACATATCAATATTACTTTTATACAGATCGACACGCAACACGTGTAGTAATAGCTCAACACTAATCTTTACCGTACACAGTGATAATAAATTTGCTCCTGCCAATATACGGATGATGAATATGCATGGGTTAATTGAAATAAATAAATTACCATGCGCATACGAATGTCTTCCCATCAGATTGGACCTCCCAAATGAAAATCTTAGGGACATCATAATACGATACATACCTTCAACACTCATACAAATTAGTTGCGAGAAAGCTCTTTATGCCTAAAAAGCTCTGTAGCACCAAGCGCCTGCATTAAATCCGAATGAATATTAGAAACGATACCATGCCATACATGGATACGTACCTATCATTGCGCATGTATATATCTTCGCATACGAAAGTACGTATCTCCCCCTGTGTCTATGCTGACCACCTCATATACATAATTTTTATATACGCTTTGGACAGTAAAACGGGACATACCAGTCTTACGGAACACTAGACCTAGCGGCAACTATGGTAACAGGATCAAGCCCGCAAAACACCATAAATACCGTTTACGAAGGTATGATCGCACCATAGAAGCCTTTGACAAATCTTCTAATACAAGTAAAGATGTATGGTTTCTACCCAACACGAACCTCTTAGTAGGAAGGTACACTTGATGTTCAGATAATAATAATATTTACTAGGATGCAGGAGAACAATAGCAACGACTGCTCTCCGGTAATATTCGCATCCGTCTTTAGATGCGTACTGTACAGTTAGGTAAAATGTCCCATACTCTGAGCTGCACTAATCTCAAGGCACGTACCTACGTATAACTTTTTTTTTTTAAAGTTCTTTCACTAAAACAAAACATTACTATACGTCATATGATGACACGTCAACTACGAAGCACATAATGGTGTTTCCATATAAACGCCACAAAACGTCATTTCTTATACATTACTACTGCAAACGTGAAGATGTGTCGGCTACAAGAAGGCGAAATCATATGGAGCGCATACGCAACGCGATTGGATGAATTTTAATGCCCGTCCCCTCCATGGGCATATGGTCCCTTGGTGAGATAGTGTCGAATACATCTGACTTGTGTTCCACGCCCTAATTTTGCGCGATGTAGCAATATTTTCAACAAAAATAGCTTGAGTAAGCCGTTAAGACTACGTCGATTGACATTAAAAGATTCGTGTCAGTACGAGCTACGCAAATTACTTACTAATGATGTCACAAATCGAGGAAAGAACGCTAGTTGCACAATAATTGACCCTGAAACGAATAGTACGTACATATCGAATAAGGACATTTCTGGTGCTCCTATACTTGTCAATTGCTATAAAATTCAAAGCAGGATCTGTGAACAGCATGTAGTTACGGTAGACCTAGTCGCTGATATAAATATGATGCACTTACCAAATCATCAGCAAAAACACGCGGTCTCTTGGATACTGCCGCATTAGATAATATATAGACCCTAAAAGGTTATACGGATGCACGTTTGCTTTATGATTTCTGGTGTGCCTGTTTTTCGTAGCAGCAAGCATGGACTGAAGATTGGTAGACAACAACACAAAAGTAATCGTTTGAAGATGTGATGATGAAAGTGCAATAAGAAAAAACTCAGAAAGGACAATAAGATAGCACGACTAATTTTTCCTAACCTAAGGTGCATTCCTTTCTGATGTAAGTTAGCAAACAGAACCTTTCCCGTAAAAGCCTTTTTGTTTTCTTTCTTTTTTTAAAATAAACCACCCCCTCTCATGCTTGATTTAACGGGGAAGCCTTACTAAATTACACAAGGACATGGACTGTTGCACAAAGATACGTGCATTCCTATACAGCCCCTGTATGAATGAATAGGTGTATATTACTGATGCATGTACGTTTTCTCATGTTTTTGAAGGATGCCTGTATATAATTTTGCATCAGTAACGACAAAATGCATTTAGTACCATAACTTCATCGTTGAACAAGGATGTTAACGCACAAAAATTACTTCTCAGCTAGGCTACCAGAGTGGCCCGGGGTCACTTGCCCGGCCGGGCCAAAATAATTAAAAATAAAAAAAAATAAAAAAATATTTTTTGTATTTTTTTTTTTTTTTTAAATTTGGTGAAGAATTTCGATGTGACCCTGAGGGGTGGAGCAAGGCCCGTAGGGCCACTGCTCGTAGGGAAACGAAACAAAAGAAAGAGAGTTTTTTTGTGCAGTTGTAACGTGTAACCCATAACTGCTGGAAGCAGTGGAAAGCAGACCTGACTTCGGATCCATAACATATATTGCTGGCCTGCTCCATTGCCGTACAATCTTTGCCGAACGTCGGATTTGTGCAGATGCACTGAGGCCTTGGGAAAAAGACAAATTAACAAGGAATTCGTATGTTCAATTTTTTTTTTTTATGTGCCCTTCGATATTTTCAGGATCTGTGTAGTATCTGTTCTGATCAGTTGGAAAAAAAAAAAAAGATATATTTAGGGGTTCTGGACCCCCCAAAAAAAAAA